GAGTTGAAATCAGCTTTGTGATTATGGTATTATTGATTGATTGATTTCGATCGAATTAACGTTATTGATGAAGAAGTAGCGATAATCAGACTGAGATATAGCAGCGTTGGATTGCATTTAGACTTGGACACTTGACTTAGGTTGAGGCCTAGGCTAAGACTGAGGCCCATACCAGGAAGCAGCGTTTCATATTACTGTTTATTACTATTTACCTTGTTATTATTACTGTTTATTACATTCATATTACTGTTTATTACATTATTATTATTACTGTTTATTGGTGAAAGGTAGTTGTAAGAAGTATTTGTCGCAGTTGGGGAACGTGTTTGTTTGCTGGTGGGTTAAGCGGATGGATGAATGTGTTGAGTCAACATTGCGTGAACGAGTGAACGCTAATCAATGGCTTGTTGTTGTTGTTGTTATGAATTTTAGAGTTATTACTAGTAATATTACTATTTAGTGCTATTAGTATTACTTTAGATAATAGTAATAATAGTTATTGTAATGATCAGTATTAAATGTGCTTCATTTAGCTTCGCGCATTTAGAAGTAGTTATGGGCGACATCCTAGCAACAGGTAGGTAGAGGCATTAATTTATTTCGATCAGTTCAGTACTGTTTTAGGTGAGAACTTAGAATTAGAGAGGAGTTGAGGTGCTTAGGTTGTCATTAATGCTTGTTAGGCAAGTGAAATGATTTATTTCGCAGCTAGATTGTTGCAAACAGAACAGACCTAATGATACGTCGTCTTATTAACTTTTTTGATCTTATTATCTTATTGATCTTATTTTGATTGATTGATTAATTATTTTGATCTTATTGATTGATCTTATTAACTTTATTTTAATTTTTTTTTTGAAGAGATCGCAGATTTGTCATCGATATTGGATCGTATGCAGAATGATGAGGATGAGAATATTCACCGTGTGGGCAATTTGAAAGCATATTTTTTAAGAAATATTATATCTTTGTGAGTGTATTATATTAGTTTGTGTGAGCAAAAGAAAGGACTCGCCGAAAGGGGAGTAGGATGGGACCACCCAGCTTGCACAACCCAAGCAAGCAAGCCAACATCGCATACGGAGTGTTTGTTTCATTGGTGACAGCAGCAGCAGCAGCAGCAGCAGCTGGCAGCTACATCCATTATTTGAAATAATTGTGCCCGCAACAAATGAATTCAAGTGAATAATATGAATAATATAATTAAACGACGAACCAAATGCGTTCTCCATTCGCATCTTATCTTATCAATAGTCACATGTTGTTTGTTGTGTTGAATAATTTCAACTGAAAATTTAGTCGACCGACTTACATTCTTTAATGAACAAATATTTGGATTATATTCTATTTTAAACTGTAACGTTTTTTGCAGTTATATGTAACTGTAATTATAACTGTAGAATGACGACTATAAGATATATATTAATGACGTGTAATAGTCATTGCTGTTACCTAGTGAACATGATGTGATAACGTGATAATTGTGTTCAATGTTTCAATTCGGATATTTTACATTCAAACTGAATATTTGTGGCAAACGAACAACTAAAAATAATGGGAGCATAGTGACCATTAAATGCAATTAACAGAAGCACGTACTATAAGTTGGATAAGGCAGAAAAAACTAGGATAAATGGTATTAAAAGTGGATTAGTGTGAGAGCATGATCGTAATCAGTGGTGAATTCGTTTGTGACATTCATAAAAACTTACTGCTTTTTTTCGTAGTATTTGTGGAAGAGTCTTATAGTTGAATAGCTTAAGTTCAGACTTAAACATGTAATGTGTACGTGAGTGGATGGATGGATGGATTTATGGATGGATGGATGGATGGATGGATGAGATTATGTGCAGATATAGTGCTTGATTGTTATGTAGGAGATAGTTTTTTGATGATTTTCATATACGCTTAAAATGCGTGCAAAAAGTTTTGATGTGATGTGATGTATAGGATGTACAGTGAATATCAAGTGCTGCTGCTGCTGATGTGATAAAATGATTGCTGAGCTGATTATTAGGTGTAGCGTTGTGCAGTTGTTAATATGAAAGTGATTAGCTTATGATAACATTAAGAACACTTTTAGTCAACAACTCTGATGAACGTTATTAAAATATGATTTGGAACTGAGAGAGAGAATGGCTGTGATTTCACATTGCTAAAATATTTTTCACATTTTCACATATTATTTTTTTTGGGTTCATTTTATCACTACTAAAAACACTGATTGAAGTCATAATCGTGCCTTTATTGGTCGATAATTGGGTGGGGACTTGAGTTGATGAGTGGATTGATAAGATAGGGTGGGAATCTTCTTATCGAAAAATATCATGTAAACATTGAACTGCTGATGAGCGTGTAGGTTGTGTCTAATGCTAAATTATTATTATTATGAAGTAATCATAATAATAATATTAATAATAATAATAATAGTCAAAACTGAGACTTTTTTGAATATCTCTTAAATTGAGATATTCTTGCGTTTATCCCTTTAATGAGATCAAACCTTGTCGAAGATTTCGGACCGACGCGTTCTGAATAATCGAACTCACGCCTTCTGAACAGGTCGCATCCTTAAAGCCCAGCGTTACACCAGTACACCAACGGCCATCTTTCTTATTTCATTTAGGTATTATCTTCTTTTGAGTACTGTCCATCATTATATGCTAGCTTTTCGAGCTAGTCTCGACAATAATAAATATAGTGTTAATGATAGTAATAATAATAATAACAATAATAATAATAAATAATTAATTAGTGAGTAAATAATGATCGAAGATTGTGAATGAATTGATTATTGCGATGCACGCAAATGAATATAGCGATGAAGTGTGTTTTTTATGAGAAGCATATTCTTTATATGAATGTTGCTATCAATTAGTTGACTCATAACGATTATAAATGTTTATGAGAGCAAACAATGCAGCAGCAGCAGCAGCAAATTTGGTGTTTAGTCAGTTATGGAGGTTAGGTGTAAGTAAGAGTAAGGCATGCACGCACCCATTTGTTAATTCTTAATGCTCTTTCATTCGATAACGTCTTGTGAATAGTGAAATTGCGAGTGAGTCAAGGAGCTAGTGCTTGTTTTTGGGAGTAGTTGTTGTGGTGGTGGTATGGATGATAGTTGGAATGCTGCTTGCAGGGAGGAATTGCTTTGAAAGGTCGGGCGCTCGGTATGAAGAATGCGTGAAAATGAATGAATTTAGTATGAATGCAGAAGCTGATATTAGTTGGTATTGTTTTAGAAGTGAAATGATTATGAAGAACAAGGTGAGATTGATTTAATGTGCTAGGTTCGTGTGTTAGGATGATAGAAAATGATTCATAATTAAGAGGTTAATTAATTAATTAATTAATTATTTATTTAATTTGAGACTAGAGCCAAGAAAAGTTGAAGGTTTCATCACGCACGGGCGTACGAGTTTCGGGTTTCGGATTTCAGCCTCCTGAAAGAGCAGTTTCTAAGGGGGATAGGAGTTTAGTAGGTAGTGAGTAAGAGTAAAAAAATTGGTAGAGAAGTACTTTGCTGAATGTGGAGGTAATGAGACGAGAAGGTTGAGCGAGAGTTCAGGTGTTTCGAAGAGAGTTCGTGGATGAGAGGACGAAAATAGCGTTGAAAGCGAAGAGGTGACGAGACAATTGAAGAAGGGACAGGACACTGCTGTCCCAAAGCAGTAAAAATAGGTTGTTAGCAAATTGAAAAATGCAATCCAGGTAGCGCAACAGGTAAGCGAGTAGAGCGCCCGGTTTTCTCTGCCTCTCTTCAGAAAGCATGCTGCTTTTGTTGATGCTGTTCTGTTGTGTTTGTGAGTTTTGCGGAAAATTTTTTTCTTTTCCCGGCCCAAACCTCTCAATTTCTAATGATCTTTCCATTTTTGTTGTGTTCTCTATCAGCTAAGCGATTGATATTGTTTATGATTTATTTATTTATTAATTGAACGTGATGACAGCGCGGAAACACGAAAATACTCAACTTTATTTCATTAAATTTCTTATTTTTCATATCGTTATTATTTTACATACTATTTTATGTTATTATTATTATATAATTTATATATTATTATACGTTATTATTTGTATGATTATTATTGTGGCGTTGGTGTGATCACCAACCACATCGCTGGCGATTTGTATTCTGTTGTGTGCTTGGTTGGCTTAGCGTTTGGCGCAGTCAAAGTATTGTTTGATTGAGGTGTTTTAATTCTGAGTTAGTCACCTCACCTGATCTGATCCGAATTAGTTGATCGAAAGCAATTGTTTGTCACAATGCACCCAATGAAAATAATGAATCAGCCAAGACATCAAAAATAATACCTAGCAGTCTTTATATAATCAGGCAGGCGCCTCAAACAAGCTGCGACTAGCAGGAGCCACCATAAAGTGACTGAGTGCTTCATTCATTTTTTGCTGCATGATTGATTCACGCTCTTACTTTACAATTACTGTTAACGTTATCAGTTAGGTAGATGCTTATACTGCTTGATTGGTTCGCGAACAAACTGTTGTAGTTGTGTTCAGTGCTCGTCTCTTAGATAGTAGGTAAAACAATGGAATAATGGTAACGATTGATTGATCTATCTGCTGTGTATGTCATTGTCATGTGTGTGTGTGTATGTAATGTTTCTGAGAAGTGTGATGATGCGTTCGTTGTTTGTTATAAGAAGGAATGTGTTGTGCTAGATTGATTGATAGATAGGTAAGGCAGCAGGTAGATAGGTAGTAGGTATCTATTATATTCATAGGGCATAGGGCATTCGATTGCATCGATTGATCGCTTCGATACATATTATTTATCTGTTTCGTGATTATCTTCTAATGGCAATAGTTAGTAGTAAGTTATCATTATCAGCTTGTCATTATTTAGACTGTATTGTTACTGTTTCATTATGGTTGCATTTGATGAGTAATAGTTGAGTATTGATTACTGTTAGTAATACTGATTACTTGCTATATTATGTAGGTGATACTGAATTGATGTGCCAAGCAAACGTTGGTGTGTTCATATGTATATAAATGGTGTTTGGTTTGTTATTTAATAATTGTGTGAAGTGTTATTAAACGCCCTGATAGTTGAGTATAATACTTGTATAGTGGCAGATAGTGATTGATAAGAGTGATCAGCTTATCAGTCTTATCAATTAATCACTATGAGCAAGCGTTCGTTGTGTTGTGCAGTTTTACAAATGAAGATCATGCGTTTGAGGAGAGCATGTGCCTGTTGCAGACGCACTCTCTGTGATGTACTACTCGTGTCATACTTAATTTTGCAGAATGGCGAACTTCGCTTAGACTAGTACTTAAACGTAGTTTTAGGCTTAGGCTTAGATTTAGAGATGAGTTAGTGAATTGGGTTGGCGTTCAGGTTGGATTCAGATGAGTGGTGCTGGTGTTTGAATATATCTGATGAAGAGTTGAGTTAAAATTTGTGATATCTGTAAAATTGCTTGAATATTTGTTTGAGAAGTACCTTTTTTTGTAAATTTTTCCTTAATACCGCAACCAAATCACCAGTACATAGCGATCTCACTGAAGTGAATTCTATTCTATTATAGTCAAGCAGACACTAATTGGCTTGTTTGATTGAGTGTTCACATTTCTTTGATTTGTCAATTAAAAAATGTTCGTACGATTTTCTGATAGAGCATTGATTATTCATTTATTTGAATGGCTGAATTTTGCCGTAGCTGAATTCATATTCATTTGATTAATTAGACCACTTTTTTGTGGATAAATAAGAAACATACAGTTGTGTGCCTTGTTTCCTTGAACAAATCATAATAGATCCGAGACTGTATCGTAGAAAAACTTGACGAGTTTATAACTGATATGGCAGTGAGTTGCTGCTTTGGTGGCTGAATTCATCAGCATATAATATTATAGAACGAGAAGGGAAGGAAGCATTGGTTTTAATTTGATTTATAATTCGTAATTTGAATGTGATGTGATGTAGGTGATCGTTTAATGTGATGCTGCTGTTTGATAGCAGCAGTAATAATAATACTACTACTAATAAAGATGAAGTAATTAAAAAAGTATTCTAGTGGATATCATCATCATCCAACAACTAGTTCACGAAATCCAGCCTCGTCAGCGTCTGGTTCATACTACTACTCTCGAGGTTCTGCTTCAGCTCAAGGAGGTACTCAATCTGCTTCGGTCTCTTCACAAGCACCATCTCCGGTCATTCCGTCGTCATACACTCGACTTCCACCACCACCACAACAACAACAACAACCCTATTCACAACAATATAATGGTTCAGTGGAGTCGTCATCAACTATGATTAATCGAGGTTGAATATTTTTACTTATTATATTGATGTGTAAACAGTAATATATTCATTGATATGATTTGCAATGGTTATTATGCATAATGCATTTTGATTTACTTGCGATTATTGTGCGCGCGCACTCAAATCAATTCATTTCACAGTATTTTGGCGCTGAAATGGTTTTTTTTTTTAGTTTTCAAATGACACATATACATATGTAGTTGTTCGGAGATGATCAAATTGCATCGCGCATTTTTTTTAAATTAAAAAAAGCTGCCTTATTTGGTGATAAACAACAGAGTTAGTCTCGCTCTTGTTGCATTAGATGAATTAGTTGAATTCGATGTGGCGGCGCTCGTGTTTGGTTGGTTGGTTGATTGTGGTGGTTTAGTTGGTAGATGTGGATGGGTTGTATAATAGTAATAATAACATAACTACTAGCCATGCATATTTATTAATCGTAGCCAAATGGATGGGTAGATTATTATTATTATTATTACTCAGACATTGGGTGGTTGTTTTGTTAATGGCTGTGAGCGATCGACGGAATGAATATTTGTTTGAATAGAATTATGAACGAAGGATTTTCATGCTGTGTGATAATTATTATCATAAGAGTAGTGCAGGCAGCAA